CATCCATCCATCCATCCATCCATCCATCCCTTATCCATCCCTTATCAATCCATCATCCATCCATCCATCCATCCATCCATCCATCCATCCATCCCTTATCCATCCCTTATCAATCCATCATCCATCCATCCAACCATCCATCCATCCATCCATCCATCCCTTATCCATCCCTTATCAATCCATCATCCATCCATCCAACCATCCATCCATCCATCAATCATCCATCCCTTATCCATCCATCCATCCATCCATCCATCCCTTATCCATCCATCCATCCCTTATCCATCCATCCATCCATCCATCCATCCATCCATCCATCCCTTATCCATCCACCCACCCATCCATCCCTTATCCATCCATCCATCCACCCACCCTTCCATCCATCCACCCACCCTTCCATCCATCCATCCCTTATCCAACCATCATCCATCCATCCATCTCTTATTCATCCATCCATCCCTTATTCATCCATCCATTATCCATCCAGCCATCATCCATCAATCATCCATCCATCCATCCATAAAGAAATAACAAAAGCTGGTCCCAAAGGTAAAGACTAGGCTGAGAAGGAAGCGGTGAAAGAAAGAAAAGCAGCCATGTAAATAGAGAAAGAGGAGAAAGAGTTAGAGGAAGGAAATGTCAGCGGCAGAGAGAGGGGAAAAAACAGGCAACAAAGGCTAAAAATATCTCACAGATATTCCTGGGAAACAGAGTGGCAGAGAGCAGCAAGAATGGTAAAGCTGTTCCCAAGAGAACAGAGGATGCCTGACCTTCTGAAAAGTGAATTTTACAGATAACTAAACAGAGAAGATACGCAATCCTTGCTGAGATGAATCTCTTTTGCTTAGCTTGGGTTGCATCTTTGCAACTTTTCTCCAGGAGGAGCAATGAGGCAGACCCTGGGAGCGTTTGGTTTTTCTCAACCACAATCAGAAGTTCATACTGCAAAATGTTGCAAACATCTCTAAAACGTAACACAGCTTTCACTATACCTCACAGCAGGGATGAGGGTTTTTTTTTCCAGATCTTGGACCTTTTTGTCACAGCAGACTCACCAGGAGTTCTGTTTCTGAAAAGGTGGACGTGACCAAAGCTCAGAGTCACAGGGGAGTAAAGCAAACGCCACGTCATTAGCTTCGTGATGGTAGGAGAAAGAAAAACCATAAGGTGGGATTTTTCTGTTGTCTAGGGCAGGGTTTTTCAATCCTGGTCATCAAGGCACCCTGCTCTGCATGTTTTGGATGTTTCTGAGGTTCAGCACACCTGATTCAGATGATTGCAGTTCAGCAAAGCCTGATAATCTGCTATCAATAGATAACAGGTGTGTGAAAGCTGGGAAACATCTAAAACATGCAGAGCAGGGTGCCTTGAGGACCAGGATTCGAAAACACTGGTCTAGGGTACAACCATTCTGCCGCAGAAGTTGGATTCCTCCAAGGATTTATACAGCTTTACCTGAAGTGATAATAAACATGGAAGGGAATGGAAGGACACCAGCAGAGGGACTTCTCACAGTTCTTAATTTGCTTAAAATAAAAACAACAAAAACCCCAAGAAAGCTATCATTTAGCAGAGCATGTGGCAGGTCATTGACATCACTGAGGAATCACCATGGAAGCCCACCATAGGCAGACTCCATTACTCCCAGTTACACCTCCTGGTTCCCCTGCTGGTAAATGGTAAATGGCCTGTACTTATATAGCGCCTTTATTCAAGTCAGGAGACTTGACCAAAGCGCTTTACACTACATTCATTCACCCATTCACACGCACTCACACACTGATGGTGGCAAGCTACAGTGTAGCCACAGCTGCCCTGGAGGTCACTGACAGAAGTGAGCCTGCCGTACACTGGCCCCACCAGGCCCTCTGACCACCATCAGTAGACAATGCAGGGGAAGTGTCTTGCCCAAGGACACAACAACAATAAAGTCGGAGTCGGGGCTTGAACCGTCAATCCTTCGATTTCAGGGCAAACTCCTACATCCAACCCCACTGCTTGGAGTCATTGTCCTTCTACAAGATGTTTATGTTACGTACTGTCCCCCCCTGTGTTTTAGGAGAATATTACAATTATGGTTGCATCATGTAGTAATCCCCATATTCCACATCCTCCGTCACCGCTCCACTCACGTGCGTCGTGCAGAGCACTTGTGCATCATGTTAATCAATGAAAACTGCTA